GGACCGCGGGGACACGGCCGGCCTCGCCGCCGCCGGCAGCCGCAGGGCCCGGGTCCCCGCCTTAAGAGGGCCGGCGCGAAGCGCGCTTGGGGGCACCTACCCTCGTCCGCGTCATACATCTTGGCAACGGGCGCCGGGGCTCCTAATTCCCGAAATCACCCAAAAGCGCAGCGAACCCCCTGTCCCGGAGAGAGTGCGGCAATTTCCTCCCCCGGCGCTCCCAGAATCCTCCGCGCCGCGCCGGCGCACGCAAACGCACCATTTGCGCCTGCGCAGACTGTAAGGCTAGGTTGCACCGCCCCCTTCACCCCCCTCCCCCCGCCCCTGAGAGTTGCGCAGGCGCGAACTGTGAATGGCGGGCTCGGCTGAGAGGACGGCACCCAAAGAGCAGGGGTTTACCCCAGCTGGTGAAAGCTTGCCTGTTTGTTTTCCAAGGTTTTTTACCCCCATAAATAATGACAGTTGAAAATGGCCAAGTAAACATTAATGGGAGTGGTGGCCGTGAGTTCTCTCAATATCCGATGCATAATTTGCACTTGTAAAGACCAAAACCTTTCCAAAATGTAATTTACTGGGGGCTGGGAATTTAGCTCAGTGGCACAGCGCCTGCCTGGCAAGCGCGAGGTCGTGAGTTCGATTCCCGGTACCGGAAAAAAAACAATCAAAAAAAAAAACCAACAAAATGTAATTTACTAAGGCACATAGTGGTGTATTGCAGCCCAAAAGTGAACAAGCTGAGTACACCCTCCACCTTTTTCTGCCCACCTAGCTAAGTGCTTCATTCCTTGGCCGTCGCTTTAAATGGGTTCTCAAGCCTCAGCGCTTTCCTCGCGAGAACTCACGGGATTTGTCTCCCAGTCCCGAGCTTCCCCGCGGGCCCCAGACGCATGCGCACGCGGCGCTGCGCCCAGGACGCGCTCGCTATGCTGCCCCGACGCCTGACGCGCTGGCTGCTGTGCGGTGTCCTGCGGGGCCCCGCGTGCACCCTCGCGCGCCATGGCTTCGCGGAGCCGCTCCCGGAGAGGAGGTGCGCGGCTGCCTCCTCCTTCCCGGGCCGTGGGCTTCCTCCCGGCCCCGCGGCCGCTGGGGAGCCCGAGAGAGGCGCCGGCGCGGAGGAGCGGTTTCTGTTCCCCGAGTACGTCCCGCTGCCGGAGCCGGCGCCCAGCCCCGTGG